ATCCCAGCACTATTTATTGTAAGCTCCATCATTTCTCCTTTATTCTTCAGTGCCCCTTTGTCTATGTATTTGTGGATCTAGGTCTGCCCTCTCTCTTCAAATTCATTGATTTATCCTTCTATGCTTGAACCATTACCATATTATCTTCATTATAATGACTTTATAAATTTTAATATCTTGAAGGCAAGCCCTACCTTCTTCTTCAAGAATGTCTTGGCTATTTTTGGCCTTTTGACTTGCATATATATTTTAGAATCAAGTTGTCAAGTTCCACCAAAAAAAAGTCTGTTGGGATTTTAATTGGAATTGTAACTAAATCTATAGATCAGTTTGGGGAAGAATTCATATCTTTAAATGTTAAATCTTCAAGTCCATGAACATAGCATATCTCCATTTATCTAGGTCCTTTTTAACAACATTCAATAAAGTTTTATGATTTTCTTGCATATATTTTGTTAGATTTATTCCTGGGTAATTTTTTTAACATATAAATTTGGATGCTACCACAAATATCCTAGGTGTTAACCTTCTTTGCTTTCATTTGTGAACTGGTATTTAGAAATCAGTTACTTTGTAACTGTATTATTCCAAGGCTGCTGTAACAAGTTGCCACAAACTTAGTGGTATAAAACAACAGAAATTTATTATCTCACTGTTCTGTAGTTCAGAAGTCCAAAATCGGTTTCACTGGGCTTAAAATCAAGATGTTGGAAGGGTTTTGCTGCTTTCTGGAGGCTCTAGGGGAGAATCTTTGTCCTTGCCCTTTCCAGTTTCTAGAGCTGCCCACATGCCTTGGCTTGTAGCCCCCTTTCTCCATCTTCAAAGCCAGCAACAACAGGTTGACTGACTTATGACACACTTTTTCAGTTTTAAGGACTCTTGTGATTACATTTGGCTCACCCAGATAATCTAGAATAATTTGATCATCTTAATTTAATCACATCTACAAAGTCATTTTTGACTTGTAAGGCAAAAATTCACAGGTTTCGGGGATTAAGATCTGGACATCTTTGTAGGGGAGATGGACTTCATTCTGCCTACAATGGTAATCCTGATTTTGAATCCTACAATCTTGCTAAGCTCTTATACATTCTTATCATTTATCTTTAAATTCTTTTAGGTTTTCTGCATATACAATCAAATCATTTACAAATTATGAGTTTTGTTTTGTCCTTTACAGTGTGTGTGTGTGTGTGTGTGTGTGTGTGTGTGTGTGTGTGTGTGTGTGTGTATTTTTCCTACCTTTAATGCCAAGGTAAAACAAAAAGAATGGCTGGGGAAAAAATTTTAAAAACCAAAAATACTGACTGGGACTTCTAATATAATGTAAAATTCGAGTGATTATGTCAGGCAGTCCTGTTTTATTTCAAATCTCTAATGGAATACTTTCAGCATTTCACCATTAAGCAGAATATTTGATGTAGGCTTTTTTCTCCTGAAATTGAGATGATCATATGATTTTTCTCCTCTAATCTGTTAATCACATTAATTACATTAATTGATTTTCTAATGTTAAACCAACCTCCCTTTCTGAGAAAAACCAGACTTGGTCATGCATTTTAGTAGTTATCCTAATGAGTGATTATGGGCCTTTTATTTTCCTTTCTTGTATGCATTATCCTAATTAGGTTATTGTAGTTAGGTTATAACAGCCTCATAAAATTAGTCATGGAGGGTACCTACTTTTTCTATTCTCTGAAGTAGTTTGTGTAAGATTGGTATTATTGGTTATTGCATTGGTTTTAATAAAATTGCTGAGTTTCTAAACCTAAGCTACATTGTGAAGCTTTGTACATTCTTCAGCATGTCTGTGTCAAGTGCTTTAATATATAATTAATCCAGGGAGATTTGAGGTATTATCTCTCTCTCTTTTTTTTCTGATAGGGAAACTGGAGCTAAACAGATTACATATGTGCCTAAAGATCATATAGTTACTAATTGGCCTACCAGAACTTGAATTGAGACTTCTTGGCTCTGAATCCATTGTTCAACCCTACATTCTCATTGATACTCTCCAGAAGTATTGATATCTTGGCTGCCATGAGTTTACATTTTTTCAAAAAAAATTTTTATGGTGTCTCTATCTCTTCCTTTGATGGTATTTCTTGCCATCACTTTTCTCCTTTCTTTCTCTTTGCCCCACTATTTCCTTATTTCTTATATGCTGTGCTCCCAGAGACAAAAATAGGTTACTCTTTTGTAACAGTAGATAGCCTCTGAGCCTCTGAGGGACATTCTTAGAAGTAAGGAGCGTGAGCTTTGTAACATCCATTTCCAAACAGGCTCAGAAGATTTTATTATTCTTTTTGTTTCTCTTAGGTTGCTAGACTGTTAATTATCTTTATATTTATATGTCCTACACTTTGCTACTCAAAGTGTAGTCTGTGGACCAGCAGAAATGGCATCTCCTTGGAACCTGTTAGTGGCAGAGCAGGTCCCATCCCAGAACCAATAACAGAGGCTGCATTTAGCAAGCTTGCTAGGTGATTCCTGTGGACATTAAAGTTTGAGAAACATTGGCCTACATTACCAATTAGACTATAAAATCTTTGAGAACTCATACCTTTTCCTATCCCCAGTTCCAAGCACCATGCCTCACGCGGAACCGCACACTCATGAAATGAAGTCTGTGGTGATGATTTTATAAAACACATGGCAAATCAGAATCCTCAGTTCGGGTTTTGACTGTGTCAGGAACTCCATCTATTGTTTAATTTCAACAGCCTTCAGTTTCTCGTCTATATAATGAAGGAGTATAATTACATTTTTTTTCTAATGACCCCCAAATTCCAAAATGCTACACCATGACTGATAAATCTCTCAGAGTTAAACTAATAAATGCTAACAATTGAGATTGTCCTGAGGTATTTTCTTTGCAAAAATTCGAGACGAATTATACAATGGTGTTGAATGAAATATGTAATATATGAAAAAGTATCACTTGCATCCAAAGAGGTTGTTATTCTTAAGATCTCAGTTGGAAAAGATGACTTTTGTTTGATCAGATGCCTTTTTTCAAGCAGTAAAGCAGTGTAATAATAGGAGCCAACATTTTGTGTTTCTAAAGTTCAGGTTCAGTAGTCTGGTATAATGGCCAACTGAAAATTGCAGTGTGGGAAAACATAGGAGGTGCTGCTTTGATTTCATGAACATTGTGTATGATTATCAAACCAAAATTGACATATTCTACCTTAGCTGCCTAGAATTTCAAATTTTTCTAGCAATTCTGTATTCATTCTCACCTTCAAGATATTAGAGGTAGAGACAGGGTAGAGACAGCAGTTAAAATAAGATTGCCCCAGTTCAGAGTGTATCTGGCTGACCTACAAAATGAGACATTTCATGATTTGATCTGCTGTTCTATTACTGGAACCCCTCTTCCCCATCTTCTTGGAGAAGAATTTGTATTTGGAGGTTATTGTTATAACTGTATCATAATCATCATTGTGGAAACCATTGTTGACAGCCCACAAAAGAATGAAGTTGTACTCATGATTGCCACTTACAGTTTTGATTCCTTCGCCCTTAACATCTACTTGTTTGGCAACTCTGTTCCCTAAATTAGACATTTGGTAAACTTGGTCAGCCTTGAAACTTCAAAGACAACAAGCTGTCCAGCCATCTGCATGACTGTCATTGAAGTCCCTTGTGTTCTCACAGATTGCAGCTTGTCTATTCTGAAAGACGAGCTACAAATCTATTCTGAGCCTGAACAAAATATCTGACCAGTCTCAGAGCAACCCTGACAGTTACTCATAAGTCTAGCAGTTCCCATGCAAAACACCAAACACTGTACTTAACAAAAAGTAAGGCTAGGGGCAAATGGCATCTTCCCTACCATTTTGGAGCAGCATTGTTGTTTCTTTCTTTCTTTCTTCTTCTTATTAGCCTTTTTTTTATTAACTTAGGGGGATAAGACAAGAAATGCCTTGCAAACATCTCTCTTTGGCATTGCCAAATTCAGCCTATTCCATGCATGTACTGTGTTTGGGAGTCGTTGCTTTGTTCTGTTTTAGTTAGGTAGGAAGATGGTAGACTGAAGATCTGCAGAGCTTACTACAGAAGGCATTTTATTTTCCTATAGAGGGAAAAGTACACCCATCTCATAAATACGAAGTATTTCAAATTGAAATGAGAGGCAAATTATATTCCTGCTTTCCATATTAATTAGCTAGGTAACCCTGGGCAAGTCAACCTCTAAATTTCATTTGCATATTGAAAGCTTTGGTCTACACACAGCCATTTAAACCCCTCCTTCAATTGTTCATTCAGTCCCTACCAATATATTCAGTACCTGCTGTGCACCATCAACAACACTGATTCTTGGAGAGCTCAACATTGTGTCTCCACGCCTTTAAGCAATTCACTCCTCATCCTCCTTTAAAACCGGAAATCTTCCCCAAAAAGACTGAAACACTTTTTCTGTCTGAAAACATACACGGGGAAAAGAAAGGTGTCGGTTGCAGTCAACCTAGAGCGGACGTACCGGCAGGCTAGTAGCTGTTGTTTCTTCGGAAAGGGCACGCTCTGCATGGTAAAGGGCTACCCAGTCACCCGGAGAAATACAGTTTCAAGGGCGCCTGGGGTCAGTGTGGGATACCCAGCCGCTTCATTCTCGGCGGAGGCAACCTGGGAAACATTTTTGGGCTCCGTCCGAGTCACGCGGCAATTCCACGGCAGGAATTGTGCAATGGGGCGAGTCGGGCGGGCGGCCGGGGTGGAAAGAAGCGGGGGAGGCTGCCACAGTGCCAACTTTTTTTTTCCTCCCTAGGGAACCGTGAGGCGCGACGGCGCGGCCAGGACGGCGGGGATCCGGACGGCCCCAAGGCCGGGCCAAGAAAGCCTCGCTTCGCTGCAGAGGCCGCGAGTACAGAATCGCGTGGGGGCCGTCCCCGCTCCGCGCCAGAGACCGCCCCCGCGCGCTTCCCGGGACTCCGCCGGGGGCCGCGAGCCGAAGGGGCGGGAGCGAGAGCGGGAACGGCGACCCTGGGGGAGGGGGGAGGGGGCGAACGGGCCGCAGGCTCGCCACGGCGACCGCGGCGGGGAAGTCCGGGCCCGTACTTTCGGCTAGAACACCCGGGCTTCCAGCGGCGCCGCGCCCCCGCCCGCCGGCTCGCGCTTTCGGACGGTGACGCAGCCGTCCGGGTACGCAGAAATCTGCGCGGAAGCCGGGAACCTCCCGGGCCGCCGGCGTCTCCCCGCCGCCCCCGCGCTGCCCGCAGCCAGCGCCTGCCCCGGGGCCTCAGCGGGGGTCGCCCGGGGAGCCCAAGGCGGGACGTGCTCTCTGGGCTCAGGCTCGCTGATACATCTTCGGTCGGGTTCATCACTCATGTCACTGCCTTAGTGACGTGCGTACTATTATTAGCGTCACTTAGAGGTGAGGAAACAGGCTCAAAAAATATCAAGTTACGTGCTTGAAGTCAAACAGAAGGCAGAGCTGCGAAGCAAATCCAGGTTTGTCTTGACACAGCTGTATGTTCTACTTCTCTTGGCTCAGCCTCTTCCCGGCTTTCGTTCCAGTGAGGAGCAAACTAGGTGACAGGTGGGACAGGTACACTGAGAGGTGGAGCCCCTCTTTATGGGGCAGCGGGGCAGTTTGCTTCTGGCTGGTGCTCACTTTTGCCCAAGTGTGCAGTAAAAATATTGTTGTTCACGAAGTGGACAAGGTTGGAAAGCATTTCGCAGAACTTCTGCCACACCATATAGTGGGATCTACTGGAGGATTAAAGAAGACAGTGTTTACATGGGTGCTAGCACTTCAAAGATCCTCAATACATAATAATTCTCTTTTCTTTTTGCAGCGCTCCCGGGGACATCTGGGCACTCACCCTTCTAACACTGGAGAGGGGATGCAGTCATTTTAGGTCAGTACCCTCTTTGACAGATGAAAGATTTAATTCACTCCATGGGAAAATCACCTACCCCCATCTCCATCTAACTAGTGACAGACGGCGAACTAGGGGCCCTGTCTCCTGGAAGCATGCAAGGGCTCTTGCCACCTCACCTCCCTTTTCCTCCCAGAAGCTTCAGAACAGCTCTGAGGCCAGAACGTGACTTTCTCAGAGACCTGATGACGGTGATGTGGGCGGAGACCTCCGGGAAGGAGGAGGAAGTCAAGTCACCGGGTTCGGCAGCTGGCCTGTTTGCCGTGCCCTAGAGAGGGACCCAGCACCTCAGGCGTGGAGCCAGCCCTACCAGCCTGGGCCTCTTTGCTGGCTGGGTCCCCTTTTGGAAGAGCGGCAGCCCAGTAAAAGATAAAGAGAGAGAGAGAGAGAGAGAGAGAGAGAGAGAGAGAGAGTGTGTGTGTGTGTGTGTGTGTGTGTGTAGGGGGAGTGGCTTCTGGCTGTGGAATGTCCAAGTACATGTGGATTAGGATAGGAAGGAATACGCTGGCTTTTGAATTTTCTCCTAGATGGGACAGAGTCCTTCCATGGCAAATGATTTCAGGGTCAGCACAGAATTTTGAGAGGAGTTTATCTTGAAAAGTGAAGGATGCTAATGCAAGTTTTCTAACATTGCCAAATTTGGGGAACTGTTTGGGTTTTAAAATCACTGAGCCCTGGAGCAGCTGTTTTTTCCTTACAAGCCTCTGTTTTGTGAAATGAGGCTAAAATACCTGGGCAGCCCTTTTCCCTTGGGCACCCTGGAATGCTGAGACTATGAATGGCATCTCAGAAGAGTTGGAGCTCCAAAGGGAAGTCGGACCACGAAAGGACAGGACTCTCTCCTTTGAAAACAAAGTTCTCCGTTTTTCAATCACAAAAGTAATTACTACTCATCGTATACAAGTTAGATTTTTTTTTTTTGGAATCAGAAAGAAGATAAAAAAACATTGAAATCCGACATCCAGGAAACCACTGTTGATAATTCGATGTATAGCATTAATGTAAGCAGAGTGAACACACTCCTTTTTTCCTTGAACAGCCTTTTTTCCTTGAATAAAATATCATGACATGCCACTAAATATTTTCCATGTATGTTTCTATTTTTTTCCATACATGTTTTAAATGGGTATTTAGTATTCCATTGTGCATTTATTTAGCTAAAGTCCAACTGAAGGATTAAAATTGTGTCCAGGATTTTGCTATTGAAACAGCAAAGAAGTGTGAGCCTTGCACCTAAATCTTTGAACACATTCTCAATTATTTGTATAGTTAATTTCCTAGATGTGGTGTTTCTGGGTCCAGGGATAAAGATTGCTCTACATGACCTTTTAAGCTTGATTCCCTCTACCCCATCCCCACCCCAGTGGTTTCCCAGACTTTCTGTACCATTTATTCACCAAGAATTTATTGAACAACCATCACATGCCAGACCTGCCTGGATACAGAGATGGATTCTTTGTAGCACTAGGTGCCATAAATGTCAGAGAAAGCTTTGGGTAGTCAGATGTCCAGTTTGAGGAGGGTCATAAAAAACCATTTGAGTTTTTTAAAAATTCAATTTAATTAACATATAGTATATTATTAGTTTCAGAGGTAGAATTTAGTGATTCATCAGTTGCATATAACACCCAGTGCTCATTACATCAAGTGCCCTCCTTAACGCCCATCACCCAGGTACCCCAGCCCCTCCCCTCCAACAACCCTCAGTTTGTTTCCTATAGTTAAAAGTCTCTCATGGTTTGTCTTCCTCTCTGTTTTTATCTTATTTTATTTTTTTCTTCCCTTTCCCTATGTTCCTCTGTTTTGTTTCTTAAATTCCACATATGAGTGAAGTCATATGATGTTTGTCTTTCTCTGACTGACTTATTTTGTTTAGCATAATACTCTCTAGTTCCAACCACGTTGTTGCAAATGGCAAGATTTCATTCTTTTTGATGGCCGAGTAATATTCCATTGTATATATAGACCACACCTTCTTTGTCCATTTATCTGTTGATGGACATTTGGGCTCTTTCTATAGTTTGGCTATTGTGGACATTGCTGCTATAAACACTGGGGTGCATGTGCCCCTTTGAATCACTATATTTGTATCCTTTGGATAAATACCTAGTAGTGCAATTGCTGGGTCATAGGGTAGCTCATTTTTACCTTTCTAAGGAACCTCCACACTGTTTTCCAGAGTGGATACAACCAGTTTGCATTCCCACCAACAGTGTGAAAGGGTTCCCCTTTCTCTGTATCCTCGCCAACATCTGTCGTTTCCTGAGTTGTTAATTTTTGCCATTCTGAGTGGTGTGAGGTGGTATCTCATTGTGGTTTTGATTTGTATTTCCCTGATGCCGAGTGATGTTCAGCATTTTTTCATGTCTGTTGGCCATTTGTATGTCTTCTTTGGAGAAATGTCTGTTCATGTCTTCTGCCCATTTCTTGAAAAACCAGTTGAGTTTTTTGAGACCAGTGGATTTTAGGTAGCAGGAGGTTAGTGAGGAGCATTGAAAAAGGAAGGGAGGAACAATGAAAGGGTCAAGGGAGTTTTCTGTACACAAGCATGGTGGCCTAAGAGCCTGGTATGTGTTCATATATTTGGGAAAAATTTGAGTTGTCTTGTGTGCTTGTACTGAGAGTAGACTTGGGAAGGAGAATAGTGACAGAATGCAAAAAAAAAAAAACCCAAAAAACCTGTTATGTCATGCTAAGAATATTCTGACCTTATTCACATAGTAAATAAAGTTACTTATGGAGCCTCCAAGATCATGATGAAATTGGATCTTACCTCTACCTACTGAAGAGCACTGCCTTCAATAGACCCTCAAAATCATTCCTGGGGGAGAAAAAAACAAAAGATAGGAAAATTTGCAAAGCAAATATCCCAAAAGAATGTTGAAGTGTAAACTGCAGAGAATCAGCCAAATTCAGCGGTAACTACCATGTCCATCACATTGAAGAGTGTGCTGTAGTAATCATTAGTAAATCTGGTCATGAGTAACTTTCTCTTCTCTGCTTTAAAGAGAATGGCCTTGGGGTGCCTGGGTGGCTCAGTCGTTAAGCGTCTGCCTTCAGCTCAGGTCAGGATCCCAGCATCCTGGAATTGAGCCCCGCATCAGGCTCCCTGCTCAGTAGAGAGTCTGCTTCTCCCTCTCCCACTCCCCCTGCTTGTGTTTCCTCTCTTGCTGTGTCTGCATTTGGATAGCTTTTTAGGATCTGACTTCTAGTTCACTAATTCTTTCTTCAGTTGTGTCCCATCTCCTTTTGCACTTGAGTTTTTAATTTCTATCCTTTTTTTCTTTCTTAGAAGTTCTGTTGGGCAATTCTGTATAGTCTCTTGTTTCTTGCTCATATCTACCAGCTTTCATTTCTTGAAACAAAGGTTCAAAGGTAAACCAATCTGTTCTCTGGTCTCTAGGCCTCCATCAGCAGGAAAAGAGAGGGATCTCTCTTGTAACCTGGGCTTCAAATAAGATCATTCCTGGGCGCCTGGGTGGCTCAGTTGATTAAGCAACTGCCTTCGGCTCAGGTCATGATCCTGGAGTCCCGGGATCGAGTCCCACATCGGGCTCCCTGCTCAGCAGGGAGTCTGCTTCTCCCTCTGACCCTCTTCCCTCTCGTGCCCTCTATCTCTCATTCTCTCTCTCTCAAATAAATAAAATCTTAAAAAAAAAAAAAAAAAAACAAGATCATTCCTTCCCTACCCCTCACGTGAACATTGGCAGGGGTGAAGAGGGAAGCCTAGGACTCTGTATGCTCTTGAGAAGAGACTCCACCCCCCATAAGGGTCTTACTGCCACTATCTGGCATTGCAATCCTATTTTGCCTATGTCCCTGTTTCTGTCAAGAAGCCCAGAACTCTCAGATCATCCCTCATACCCAAAGCTAATCCTCACGTGGCTCTAAGGACAGTGAGATACCCTCTACTATAGTATTTTGTATCTCTCTCCTAGCTTTTTTCCCTACCCCCTGCCATACTACATATTTTACTAGTCTCTCTCCTCTAAAATGTAACCTCCTTAAGAGCCGGGGTATTTGTTTTGTTAGCTGCTTTGTCCTCAGAGCTTAGAATATTACCTGGCAAATCGAAGGTATTAAAAAAAAAAATCTTTGTTGGGTGAATTAATATTAAACCTTCTTATTTTATATTCAGTATCTTGCCATTCCATATCCAAAGATTTTGCAAGTCTGATTTTTGTCAGCTGTTGCTGCTAGCTTTTATTTACTTTGCCTTGTTTACTTGTGTGTTCTGTGGATTTTTACTCTAAGCTCATATTCCTTGGGTTTTATCTGTAGAAATTCTTTGAGGCATAGATTGAAATTCATTCATTGAGAGATCATTTGTATTTACTTTTACCAGCTGTCTGGGGTAACTGTTTACTCAGGACCAAATGAATATCCCCCTTGTTTTTGTTTTTGTTTCTGTTTTCTTTTTTAACTACAAAAGTAGGGTGAATTGGGTTGTGAACCCATGTGTATGGATATAAATTATCAAAAGACAAATATTTTCTTCAAACAAAACACGACAATGTTATGAAAATGAAAGATTTTTACTTTTAAATAGGCTTACCTGCTGAAAACAGGTCCCTGCTGTACAGATTTTGTGTAGACAATTTAGTTCTTGTAGCCCATCCAAAAAATTAAATATTTTTTTGAAGGCCAGGTACAGGCTTTTGGTTAAGACTTCATTTCTAAAATTGCCTTAAGCATAAATATAGTAAGCTTGGAGTGTCTTCAGTTTGTCATTTGGGTTGCCATAGAAGAAATCAGATTCGTTTCCTCAGTCTTTCCCCATGCCTTAATACTTGTAGTTCATGTTTGCCTTGTCTCACTCAAAGGTTTCTAATGTCAGATAGGTGCTGTTGCGCATGTTGAGTGCTGTGTTGGTCTCCCTTCCCGAGGTATGTTGGAGTAGATTTCAAGGGATACAAAGCTGCAGTCAGTCTCTGTTTGCAAGTCATTGCATTTAGAAATAGTTTGGTGACTTTGCCTCAGATTTCCTGGATAATGCAGCAGATGAGAAAATTTTTCTGTTATTTTATTTATTTATGTATTTATTTTAAAGATTTTATTCATTAGAGAGAGAGAGTGCACACACACGTGGGTGAACACAGGTGCGGGGAGGGGCAAAGGGAGAAGGAGAAGCAGACTCCCCGCTGAGCAGGGAGCCCCATGTGGGGCTGGATCTCAGGACCCTGATATCATGACCTGAGCCAAAGGCAGATGCTTAACGACTGAGCCACCCAGGTGCCCCTCTATGTTACTTTAAATTAGAGTGAAAGACAGTTTTCTGCCCACCCAGAATTAGAAGGTAGCTTCTAGAACCTCTTTTCTGTTCACTTTCCGAGTTCAACTTCAGTTTTATTTGAATGAAACTTTCCCCAAAGATTCCCCATATCACTGGGGATTAGTTATGAAAACCTTGAAGATTAATGATTAAATGGCACTGGCCCAGTGAGAGGGGCTGTCAGTCTATCCCAGCAACTTCAGTGTTTGATAGGAAGTGTCTGATGCAAATTCGAAAATTTCAGACCTGAAACTGCTCCTTTTTTCTTTCTGCATTTTTGAACCGGCTGGCTCCTCATGTGTCCAGCTCCAGAGAGGTAAATAAAATTCAAAATGGCTTAGTAGCTAGGGGCCACAGCTTTGCAGCATGAATTATGATGGTGCCTGGAAGTTTCAGCATTCCCCTAGACTTTCCTATCCCACTTAGAGGCCAAGAGGCCAAAGTCCCTTCTGTGCTTTGACTTCTATTCTACTGTGGCTTCACGCTGCTCTTCACTGAGGTTTATATGCAAGTTAGAAAAATATCTGGCTTAAACAGGTGCGGTCTTAACTCTGTTTTCTTTCTTTAATCCCATAGTATTTTATTTCTATATGATTCCGTTATTATTTATAAATCTTCTCTTGAGAATATTTTCTGTTTACTAGAAATTTAGAGATCAGATTTGCACAGGTTGGATGCTGCCAGCAAAGGCAGAGTGACCTTTGAGGGTTACTTTTACCTTGAAGAGGTCATAGGGGTCTGAGTCTCAGCTCTTCAGTCTCAAATTTTTGTCAGTACTGAAAATGGGCCCATTTCGGAAATGAACTC